CAACTACTACTCGTATAGTAGTCACAAATGATCAGTTAGTTAAAGAGTTGTCAAAAAATAAAGAAATAAACTTCAATTGAACATAGGATGAAAAAAATAACTTTCGTCTAAGTTCTACTAAGATTTTTATTTGTTACGACTGGTTTCGGTTTATTAAACCACTCCCAAGTAAGCTGACACAGTTTTACGAAAAAATGCTTGAATGTACAATAATATAGTTAATTTCATTTGGGTAGGTTAATTAAACATGTACCTGAAATAATAAAAATGTCACCTGAATCATCCATACCTTATCTGATATACCAAAACAATAATTATTTTTTATAAATTTTTTGGTATTTTCACTCTCCACAATCTGAAAAATATGAAAATTATAATGGAGAACTGTATACAGGTGTAGAAAGCGCAAACTTTTTAGTTTATCTCAATAAGTTACTGCGTAAAATTAAAGTATTTTCACGAAGAAAAATGTTCTGTTTATCAGTATTTCGTCGTATTCCCAAAAAAGGGTCGATGAAAAATTGATTTTCCACCACAAAAAATGACTTTCGTTCAATAATTATTCAACTTCCCTAAGATATCAAACATATTAGGAATCACACATTAAAAGGTAAGACCCCGTTAATCCTTAGCTCGCACAAGTTTCGACTTCTGAAGGTTGTCGTTCGTAGGGGTGCGGCATTGGTTAACGGAAAAAGAGATTTTGAAACAGATTTTTTAAACAGATATCAAAGTGGATTGCTCCAAATACCAATGGATCCTAAACTAGTTGTCACAATTCACAAATTCGATCGAAAGGGGAGAAATGCATAGTTCTAGTTGGTCACTGAGGATTTTGAAACTGGGTGTGATCATATTCTAATCTAGATATGCATGATTTTTTCCACTTAACCCTTTTGGGTTTTGCGTTGAATAATGTTCTCTAATTTTTTCTTACTAGTTAATGGCGTTATATGTTGAATTTTGAAAAATAGGTTTTTATGTTGTTGGAGAGCTTTCCCGAATAGCTTATGGAAGCATATTTCTTCAACATAAGATACTGTGAAGAGGTGTTATTAGATTACATTATTGTACATTCAAGCATTTTTTCATAAAACTGTGTCAGCTTTAATAAACCGAAACCGGTCGTAACAAATAACAATCTTAGTAGAAATTAGAAGAAAGTTATTTTCTTTATCCTATATTTTATATGAATTTCCACAAAATGAATAGGTCATCAATCGAACAAGGTAAACGTCAATCACTAATTCAATTGTTTTACCTATTTTGACAAATTTCATAAGTTCTAGATGCAAAAATAACTTTTTTGAAAAAAACGGTTCAATGAAAGATATCCCGACAGTAATTCAAGTCATAATTATGTCCTGGAATTAGTTGGTAAAGTAGTGAAACTAATTCCGGTGCTAATAAAAAAAGAAATAATCGCCGTGATCAGGATGAAGCAGCGCAAATAAAACTTTAAGGCACCTTCACTGCAGAACCCTCCACATCACTTCGCATTGTGGCTTCCCAAGTATAGGAACGTCTCACGAAACAGTAAGGAAAGTACTAAAGTTAAATAAATTTCACCCGTATAAAATGAAAATTCTTCAACAGCTTTATGACGACGATTTCGCGGGAACAATTAAATTTTGTTAAACAATATCGATTTTATAAATGAAAACCAATATTTGCTTCACTGACGAGTGTTGATTTTTTGTTAATATCATAGACAATATCCAGAGAAACTGAACTCTTGGGAATACCATTATTGGACTTTTAATCATTAAGAAAAACCTAACTGGTGAGCTGTACTAAAATTTGATAGAAGAAATAATAAACCCACTAATAACAACTAGTATGGAAAATTGAAATTATGCGGCTGGTAACATGAATTTGCAAGACGATCTTAATCACGTTCAATAAGATGGAGCTCCACCATATTACTTTCTGTCAACTAGACAGTGACTTAATAATAGATTTCCTAACAAATGGATTTGTCGTTCAAGTATAAACTACCTCAAATGAATCATCTCTTGGGATTTTGTTTTTCAGTATATTCCAAGTGTTTATAACGAATAAAAACCTGGCTGAACATTTTTAAGAATTTAAACGGAATTTTTGAATAAGTTTCTGATATAATCGCCAAATGTCAGATTTATATTAATCAATTTCTAAAAAAAATCATAATATGCTATTTTCTATAAGGCAAACCTGCTAGCAGGTCAAAATTGTTAATTCACAAAATATTAGAGTCACACCACTCTTTCAGTTTGAGCTCTGGTTTCATTTAGGATGCACTTATGCAAAAAGATAGAAACAATTCTCAATTCAAAGGTTGACATTAAAGGTTGTCTTTGCAAAAGCTCCTAAATAGGACTTCGGTTTATTTTCAGTGATCGGGATTTGAGGTCAGTGTAATTTGTAGTAATTCTTAAAGTTGATGTTAAAAAATTGATTCAGTAAAAAGGGTTATTTTTGGGAAAGGTTGTTTTCTAATACTCCATCTTGATACAAAAAAAGTGGGAGTCTTCCAAAGAAAGGAAGGAAGCAATCACTTTCAAGAAAAGTAATTCTATACATAGATGTGTAGATCACGCAAAGAAGTAACTTTCAGACAAACTGGAAGAAAAACCTCTCCTGAAACAGCTTCTTTCATATAAACATTGAATTACTCGAAAGAAAAATTATTTCGAAACAAATACTTTTATATGAACACTGAATTATACAAAATCACTTTTCTATACTCAGTTTGTATTCCAAACATTCGTTATGGAAAGTTATGTAGTAGAAAACCAAAAACTTTCTTTCCCAAAAATTATTCACTCCTAACCCTTTCAGGGTTATTTGTGTTAGGTACTTGATGAATTTTTTGTAGCCTTTTTGTAGCATAAAGCCTTCTGCATACGCCCAAAACAGTTCTATAAGCATTTATTTCTCAAAAATTAGTATTTCAGTCAATCCAGAAACATTTGAAGTGTTGGATTGAATTTTCTGACTAATCACTATAAGATCAATGTTATCAATATCAAGGACGAGAGTCAAGAAAACCTACCTTGCACTTTTAGATAGAGAGACTAAATTCATCATGTTTAGACGTAATACCAAGATGACCCTTTTTCTTAATATTTCAATCTGGTAAGCGCCCCCACTCCCATAGGACTCGTTGACTATTTTAAAATTGATTTAAAGTTACTTTCACATATAGTCAGTGGGCATACTTGAAGACTGGCTATAAATCAAATTATCTAAGAACAATTCGTTCAGGCCAGTCTCTTCTCCCTACACAGTAGGTTAGGTTTACGAGTTGTTTTTAGATAATTTGATTTATAGCAAGTCTTCAAGTATGCCCACTGACTATATGTGAAAGTGTTCTTTCCTTATACGAGGAATTGGGCAAATTTCAGATATGCAGTTGGTTACCTCGTTCACAGGCAGATGGGGCGACGACAAACTTGTTGTTTGTTGTATGCTTCAGCTTAGTTCGAGGAATGATACTCTGACGGAATTCGATTTTCAATTATCGGAAATCATCGACTTTATGTTGATGATATACACTACCTTGCACTGACGAGTGGCCAAACAGCCCGAAACCGGTCTGCAAGTGTGTTCCAACAATTGAAAATCTATTGCGGCAGTTGTATCGGCAACAGCATATGCAGGAATAACTTCTGTGAAGAATCCTGCACTGACACCTGTCGGATATAATCCAACGCACTTCGTGGTATTAGCCAGGGGAGTAGTTGTTTTCTGATAGGTGTCAGTCCATTAACCTACTGTGTAGGGAGATGAGACTGGCCTAAACGAATTGTTCTTTGATAATTTGGTTTAAAGTTACTTCCCACATGTAATTTGAAATTCTATTGAAAAAATGTTTGTAACTTTAGATGGATTTGCACCACCAAAACTGAAATGATTTAAAATGCGACAGATCTCGTATGAAGTAGGTATATAACTTCAAAACATCTATGAAAAATTGCTTCCAAAATATTTAATAGATACTGAATTCATCATCTTTCCGGACTTCCATTCTACCCTTTCCTTCTATGATTTTCTCTGAAAATGGCTTAATGATTGGAATATTGCTAAGACAATGCAACCTCTTTCCATCATTAAATACACATTAAAAATTGATAGAGTATTATGAAAATTAGTATCAAATCAATTCCATACAAAAAATAACAGCTCTTCCGATAATTAATATTTGGAAAACGTTTGAGGAAGCTATTGTATAGGGAAACACGTGTTGCAGTTTTGTAAACTGTCCAGTGAAAATCTCATTTTCATCAATTACCTATCGGCCAATTCCATCATATAATTAATAGATATTCGATAATAATATGAAATGAAGATATGTATTATTTTAGCCTCAACGAGATCAAAAACAATAATTCTGCTCATTCTTGTTTTATCCGAATCCTAGTATCTTTTCGTATACACAATTCTGAAGGATTTATTCACAGTACCTGTGGTTTATCTGTGTTATTTGAATTCAGTACGTCACTCAGTAGAAATGTGTATACTGTTAAGTTTCAATGATAATGTATGTAAGGAATAACAGTATTTCCAAACAGGTAAACGAAATTTCTCGAATTTTTAGTTGGTTTTACTAAGAACTGTCGCAAAATCTGGTCATTATTGTATTCAGTCACCAAAATACCTTTGCTGTAGGCAGTAACCTCATTCCAAATGTATGACTAATAAAGTACCTACTTAAGAATAAATAACAAAAACAACGGAAATGGTTCCAAATCAGACGACACGTAGATTACATGAACCTGACCGTCCCTATCGTTGATGACCACCTGCCGAGTCAAATATAAAGAATACTATGATGTGATCATTGACCTCATCATAACTGTTATTCTACACTTCATGTGGGCTTAACGTCTTCGCAAACGCATACAACTGGTTTTTGTGCTTAAGTCTTCCACTTCTCGTTTCACGACTTTTGAAATTTTTTAAATTATTGTTTTAGTTTTTATTCACCTTTCATTATCAAAAAAAAAGAAATTACTTACTGTGATGAGTCGAGTGTTTTTCCCAAACATTTTCAAGTATTTCTCAAACACTTATGTATTAGATTTTAGAGTTGGAATTTGCGGCCAAACTTAAAAAACGACACTTAAACTAATGTGATCCACATTTTTGACAATTTTATCACGATTTACCAATGTAATTCAGTGGTCTATTGGATTTGTGCTAGCAGATCACAGCCTGAATTCAAGAACAGTCCGACGCTCTTGCTCTTGAACTTGCTGTCGTTCAACGGAAATTATTCGTAAATGTTGGCTAAGAGGGGAGTTGAAGAATCCTACAGCTATTCTTTCCGATGCTGGCGAGTTTGCACAAGTGGGGGAATAAATAAGTACCTACTTGCCCGTGAGTAGGTACCATGACCATACCACAACCGTACCATGTATAATTTTAATCATCGATCGGTCATTGAGAATCGTGTGACCTAATTTTTGAGCTCTGAGTATCTGTTGTAAATTTGAAATTCGGAACGAACGTGTAGTTCATTGGTACCGATATTTAAAAAAAAAATATTCAAAACCAAAAACAATTTTTTTGCCAACGTTTCGAATGTAATTGAATTCTTCTTCAGGGCACTGAAACAAGGGATTTTCATAAACATACCTCCTACAAAACTTATAACTGTTATCATTTCAATTCAACGAGAAAGAATTAATTTTTAATTAAATTACTCATCGAAAAGGAGTTTCTTCGTGTTGTAAAATGTAACTATTTTAAAAACATCAGGCATAATGTTACCTAGTAAGGAACATATTAAAGTGACCTTCTCGAATGAAAATCCAGTCGGAAAGTTTTTTTTTTCAAAACAAAAAACTAAAACAAAGACATACACTCCAACATAGTGAACAAGTTGAACTGTGAAAGCTGTCCCAAATGATATGTTGGTCAAACCGGACACTATCTTAAAATACGAGTTTCAGAACACATGACAGACTCTAAGAAACTGGATATCAAAAACCCAACTAACACCATTTGAAAAAATTATTAGATCACTAAACCAGTTGATTAATAATTATTATTTTAGCAATATATAACGAAACAAAAAGCGGCATTGGCTCAACATCAGTTTTATACAGACGCCATATCAAGTATTGGGCACCAATGATAACGAAGAAACTTCAATACCGGAGGCCACTATAATCAAATATTTGGTAGTAGTTCTAGATCGACATATGAAATAGGATCTACATATGTCACATTTAACCAGAAAATTACGCGGATTTCTATTAAGTTTCAAATTATTTAAAGAAATTTTCGAAATCCTCCAGTTAAAAACAATTTACTATGGATAGGTACAATCACAGCTTGATTATAGAATTATAGCATGGGGCGGTGTGAACGATAAACACTTAAACAGTCTGAGTGTAATGCAGGAACATATCTTGAAAATTAAATATGGTAAGAAAGGGACTTATTCCAGTAGACATTTTTTCATGGAGATCGAGGTTTTTCATATCAAATACTTATTTTACTTGAAAATCACTTCCAAAATTCATGAGGGCAAAATATCACTGAACAAACTTTAACACCCATATAGTACCAGGAACAAAGAACATACCGCCTCTTGGTACCGAGATATAAAAAATTAGTCGGTCAAAGGCATTTCAAGCTACATGTTCGCGAAAATTTGGGATTCTATACCACATAAGATAAAAACCATAAGAAATAAAAATGAATTCAAAAAACCGATTGAAAACTGGTTGTGAAACTGTGAAATCATCAACTAGTAAAATTGAAACAACCCTACCAATTATTTTCCAATTATTTTCAAAATTGACAGCTTGAATTTTTCCGCACAATGTTGCACGAGTTTATTCAATATATTTTTTTTGGTTCCTTGGGAGCTGTCTGACTTGTCCTTTTCGTCCAAGTCTCCAGAAAACACTGCAGCCTCTTCCTCTTCGGCTTATTGCATTTATTCTCCTATCTTCTCATGACACCCATTCCATCAGTCTCGTTCCCTGTACTATTAGTTTGTACAGGTTCCTTGTTTGATGTTCTTCATACTCTTCTGGACGTAGTTTTGTACGTCCATATATTGCCTGTCTCTTGTGATTCAGTGCCTCACATTCGCAATATTATACTTTGTTTTATGTTTACATCACCAATTCAAATTTCAATAGGTTGGCTATACCACACACAAGAAACTCTTTTGAAGTTTCTTTCGTGGTGCCTCGTTTATTTTATTTATTTTTTTCTCAATGATGTATTAGTAATATGATACTTGAAATTGTATATTATGAATGAAATGAACTTTATTATTATTATTATCATTATCATAAAATATTCATAGGGAGTATGGATATTTGTATGATAGTGATATAATGTGTAAATGAAACTGTTGTTTTTTTTTATTTTGAAACTAAAGAATAAAATAATTATCATGAAAAGATAGGTAGGTACATATATACTTTCTAAAAGCAGAAGAACTGATTGAGGTCGTACAGAAAACAGACATTGGGAGAGTGCTATATATTGTAAAATCGGGATAAACTATAAAAGTTATAAAAGTCTAAACTGTCAGTTGAAGAAAATTTCGAATATAAAAGTAATGAAGTTTCCTTTTCTGATAAAAAATGAATTTGTATCGTTATAGACCTTGTGAAGGTTCAATGAGTATAATTTTTGATAAATTTGAATATTAGTGGTCACAAGTGATGATGAATTAGTTTTTATAGCAGGTGATTACAACATCAAAGTGAAAGAAAATAATAATGAAAAATCAAAACTATTAACTCTAGCTAGCTCCTTTGATATGTATAAAGTTGTTGATGAATATACACGCATAACAAAAAATTCCTAAAGTTGCATTGACAATATCTTTACAAAAGTACTTGAGACTCACGCTTCAGATCATACAGTCCAAATAATAACATGTAAACTCAATCTGCGACACCCAATGAAAAGTACACACAAAACATGTTTCGCTGAGAAAGGCGTGAAAAATTTGTCGAAAAAATAAATTATGGGGAAGATCTATGAAATACAACAGGAACATGACCAATGGGTGATGTTTATCAAAATAACTATGAATATTTTCAACGAATGTTTTCTAATCAAATACATACATTTTCGAAAAAACAAAAATTATTACTCGAATTCTCAAATTAAGGAATGCAAGTAGGTTAGATACATTATTATGTATATCCAAAGCGAATGAAAATATCAAATACGAATACTTGAAAACAAAAACTGAGTATGATAAGTTGTTAATATCGTCAAAACGGAAAAATTATAAAGAGCGTATAAAAAAATTCTGATAATAAAACAAAATGTATGTGGAGTATTTGAAACGAAATCATCGGCAGAGTAAAGAGGCAAGGCTGTGACATACAGGGTAATTCAATAGATATATCGAATAAATTCAATAAATATTCATTATTCCAAATTAGTTAAGAGTAATAATGAACTTGTGAAATAGTGGATATACGATGCGTATACAACCTGGTGGTTGTATATGTGGTTGTACAACCACCAGGTTGTATACGCATCGTATATCCAAATGATGTGGTTGAAATGTCAAATTAATTGAAGAATAAATATTCAAGCGGAGAATATGAAATTCCAACTTGTTTGATAAAAAAATGTACAATAATATCTAATTAAAGATATTTTAACACCCATAATTCCTTGAATTTTGACATTTTTCCTTCGCAACTCAAGCCTTCAGCTATACTATTATACAAAAAAGGGGATACAACTTGTATTAAACATTACAGACCCATAAGCTTACTCCCAAGTTTCTCCAAATTATTTGAAACTCCAACGTGTACTAAAGTTATACAGTTTTTTCATGAGTGTAATATTTTCAGTAATAATCAATATGGCTACTTCCAAAAAAAAACACAAACGGCAATTTTCCAAAATACACAGAACAAGGGGAAACGCTCTGAAATGGTTTCAGTTATATTTAGCGAACAAACAACAGAGAGTCAGTATCACTAAACACTCGAAAAACTTCTAATCTGATATAACATCTATAGGTATACCGCAAGGAAGTGTAGTAGGCCCACTGTTGTTCGTAATATTTATGAATGATTTATGCAAATCTAAATTAGCAGAGAATCAATTTATAACTATTTATTCTGATGATACAAGCCTTCTGGCAGGGGAAAACACATATCCGGAGATGATGGTAAACTGTTATAACATTTTTCAGAAAACAAAAAATTGGTTGAAGACAAATAAGTTAGTATTGAAAACTCAAGTGATGATATATGCAAACTATCTAACAGCAGATAAAACACCAAATGCATTTACTAATATTTTCAGTTATCACATGACACCAAGTTCTTAGCTGTTCACATTGATGAATGGCTGAACTGGTCACAACATATAAAGGAAATCTCTTCGAAGCTTGGAAAAGTGTCCTATGGATTAAAAATAGACAGTAAACATGACTGTTTACGCTCTGTACATTTTTGAATGTTTGATGTATTTCTTTAAAAATATCCTAAAACTTGACTTATTTGCAGGTAGTTAAATGTTCCAGCGACGAAACTTTTCAACAGATAGATAAAACACCAAATGCATTTACTAATATTTTCAGTTATCACATGACACCAAGTTCTTAGCTGTTCACATTGATGAATGGCTGAACTGGTCACAACATATAAAGGAAATCTCTTCGAAGCTTGGAAAAGTGTCCTATGGATTAAAAATAGTCAGTAAACATGACTGTTTACGCTCTGTACATTTTTGAATGTTTGATGTATTTCTTTAAAAATAGAGAACACGAATATAATACTAGGAGGCACAACCTCATTTACCCATATCATACATTGAGACTCACTGGAAAATCTCAGTATTATATGGCAATGAAATGTTACAAGTTACCAGTACTTGTAAGACGTTCTACTAGTAGCAATCAATTCAAAAACAATATCAAAAATATACTTGTATTATGACGGCGTCACTGTTATAAAATGTCCAATTACAATTATACATCAAAAGTAGTTAATTGGTTATTTAATTTCACTTTAGAAAAGCGCATTTAAAATTATAATTGTGCAATAATTTGTTGAAATAAATCTTCTTTACGCGAGTTTGACTTGGGGAATAAGCTGATGAATGAGTGATGAGGAGCTTTACAAAAAGTGTGATAGGGCGGGGCAGACGGAAGTTGAGAGGAGGTATAAGTGAATGCGTGATGAGAGCGTTACGAAAATTGTAATCGGGTGAGGCGAACAGATGTTGAGAGGGAGGTATACGTTAGTGCAGATAAAAAGAGAGAGTTACGTTTCTGTAAGAGC